AGAAAGGAAGAGACGACCCAAATCACAAGAATTGTAAACAAAAAGGGTGTCATCAAAACAGAACCATCTGAAATAAAAAAAGATCCTGACAGAATATTATGAAAAACTGTACTCCAATAGATTTGAGAACCTAGAAAAGATGGACAAGTTTCTAGAATCACAAGACCTATCTAAACTAACTCACTCAGAGGTAGAAAGCTTGAACAACCCATAACAAGGGAAGAAACTGAAGAGGTCATAAAAAAAACTTCCCACAAAGAAAAGACCTGGCCCAGATGGCTTCACTGGATAATTCTATCAAATATTCAGAGAAGAGTTGACACGTATGCTACTCAAGCTAGTCCAGAACATAGAAAAAGATGGAATACTCCCAAACTCATTTTATGAAGCAAGCATAACACTAATACCAAAACCAGGAAAAGACACCACTGGAAAGGAAAACTACAGACCAATTATCACTCAAGAACACAGACGCAAAAATCTTTAACAAAATCCTGGCCAACATAATCGAACAACATATCAAAAAATTAATACACCTGGACCAAGCAGGATTCATATCAAGTTTACAAGGGTGGTTCAACATCAGAAAATCAATCGATGTAATCCACTAAATAAACAAAACAAAGGAAAAGAACCATATGATTATATCAATTGATGCAGAAAAAGCATTTGATAAAATCCAACATCCATTCCTGTTTAAAACTCTCAGCAAAATAGGGATAGAAGGGAAAATCCTCAACATAATAAAGGGTATATATGCAAAGCCAATGGCCAACATCATTATTAATGGAGAAAGACTTAAGGCATTCCCCTTATGAATGGGAACCAGACAGGGATGCTTTCTATCACCACTTCTATTTAACATTGTATTGAAAGTCCTGGCCAGGGCAATAAGGCAAGAAAGAGAAATAAAAGGCATACAAATTGGCAAAGAGGAATTAACACAATCTCTATTTGCAGATGATATGATCCTGTACATAAAAAACCCAAGGGACTCATTAAAAAAAAAAAAAAAACTGGAATTAATAGAGAGGTTCAGCAAAATAGCAGGATACAAGATCAACCTACAAAAATCAGTTGGATTTCTCTACACCAGCAAGGAGTCCTCTGATAAAGAAATAAGGGAAACAATACCATTTACTATAGCTATGAAAACAATAAAATATCTAGGAATAAACCTCATCAGAGATACAAAAGACCTCTACAGAGAAAACTATAAAAGACTGCTACAAGAGAAAACAAGGACACTATATAAATGAAAGAACCTACCTTGCTCATGGATCAGTAGACTAAACATTGTGAAAACATCAATACTACCTATAACAATCTATATATTTAATGCAATCCCAATTCAGATTTCAACAAAATTCTTTAAGAACATGGAGAAACTAATTACTAATTTCATATGGAAAGGAAAAAGACCTCAAATAAGCAGAGCACTTCTCAAGAAGAAAAACAGTGGGAAATCTCACACTCCCAGATCTTAAGAACTACTATATAGCAACAGTAGTCAAAACAGCATGGTATTGGTACAATGATAGACAGATAGACCGTGGAACAGCATCAAAAGTCCAGATATAAGCCCATCCATCTATGGACAACTGATCTTTGACAAAGGTCCAAAACCTATTAAATGGGGAAGAGACAGCCTCTTTAACAAACGGTGCTGGCAAAACTGGATATCCACCTGTAGAAAAATGAAACAAGAACCATATCTCACCCCATACACAAAAGCAAACTCAAGCTGGATCAAAGACTTAAATATAAAACCCAAAATTATAAAATACATCAAAGATAAAATAGGGGCAAATCTGGGAGCTCTAATTTATGGCATAAATAGACTGTCAATCATAACCCAGAATGTGCAGGAGATAGAAGAGAAGCTAGATGACTGGGACCTCTTAGACATTAAATTATTGTGTGCATCAAAAGATTTCGTCAAAAGGGTAAAAAGAGAACCTACAGATTGGGAGAAAATATTTGCCTATAACATATCTGATAAAGGACTTATTTCCAAAATCTATAGAAAACTTCAACATCTCAACACCAAAAAGACAGATAACCCAATTCACATATGGGCAAAAGACTTGAACAGATGCTTCACCAAAGAAGATATACAGGCAGCCAACAAACACGTAAGAAATTGCTCATGATCATTAATCATTAGAGAAATGCAAATCAAAAAACAATGAGATATCATCTCACCCCAGCAATAATAGCAAAGTTCAAAAGGTCAGAAAGTAACAAATGCTGGAGAGGTGGTGGAGAGATTGGAACTCTTGTACAATGCTGGTGAGATTGTAAAATGGTTCAACCATTGTGGCAAACGGTATGGCATTTCCTTATAAAACTGAAAATAGAAGTACCATTTGACCCCGCAATTCCATTACTAGGAATATATCCTAAAGAAGTGAGAAATAGCACATGAACAGACATATGTACACCTATGTTCATCGCAGCACAATTCACCATAGCAAAGAGATGGAAACAACCTAAATGCCCATCAACGGATGAGTGGATAACCAAATTATGGTATATTCACACAATGGAATACTATGCCACATTAAAGAACAATGAGGGATATATGGATCATCTTGCAATGTGGATGAACCTGGAGGACATTATGCTGAATGAAATAATTGCAGAAGGACAAGTACTGTATGAGCCCATTACTGTAAAAATACATAGAAGAGTTTGCTTGGGAAAGGGAACTCACCTAATAGGTTACCAGGATGGGGAGGGAAGGGGAGGGATTAATTTCAGACTAGCTGGGGCCTACACGCTGACATGGGAAGGGGGAGGGATATACAGGAAGGATATATGACCACCATGATAACATTAGAAAATGGGAGGACACAAAATGGTGCACACAAGAGATACATGACAGATGCTAATACCAACAAAAGTGTCCACAGTACCGCATTGCTATTAACACCAAACACTAGACTATACAGATAAACACATAAGCACCTGATATGATCAGATGGGTTCAGTGAACAGAAGTATACTCTAGACCAAGGATAAATTCAGCTGAGGTTAATCTTGCACAGACACCAGTGATACAAAATTCCTGCAGTCCTCACAGAAACAATAGAAGACAGACACAGAGTAATCCTTCACAGACAACCAGACACTATGGGAGAGAGATCCAATAAATCTACTGCCTCGGGACCATAATACTGGGGGAACACTAGACTCAATTGGCACAACAAAATTCATAAAAGCATTCTTCCACATCCTACATTGGTGAGTAGCGACTAGGGTCTTAAAAGCTAAGATGCAGCTAATGGTCTCCTAGCATTGGAAGTGAAGAAGAATGAAAAAAAAAAAAAAAAAGAGAGAGAGAGAGAGGGCAATTAGAAGCAATCAGCCCTAGGACACGATGGACCTCGAGACCGGAAGAACTAGATGGTGCCCGGCTACCAATGCCAACCACTTAGGAAAGAATCAAATTTGGAGATCCTGGATAGAGTGGGAGGGAAAATGTGGAACAAAATTCCAAAAACTCAATAATGACCAGAATCACTGGTCAGATGAAATCTGGTGAGACTCCCAATACTATGGCCCTAGAATTCATTCTGTGCCTGGAATAAAACTCACCCCCAGGGACGGGGTCTTAGCCCAATAGCTAACAAAATGTACACACAGACCACTCGACTCTGGATGACACACCCACATACTCTATGGCAATACATCCCTTAGAGCAACAGACCATGGGACACCAGAGGACCAATGTTCAAACTGAGGAAATGCAGGACAAATAGGAGTGCATACTATGAGGGACACAGGGGAGAGATTGCAGGGTAGGGAGAGGAGGAGATGGGGTTAGGATTGGACATGGTGAATGGGGAATGAAACTAAATGTACACATTGTGTTGAATGTAAAACAAACTTTTAAAATAAAAACAAACAAACAAAAGAAAAAACAAAGTTTGAAAAAAAAAAAAAAGAGAGAGAGAGAAGCAAGCAGAGAAGGAGGGACCGCCTACCACCAAGAAAGAAGAACTGGGGGGGGGGGGCCGGTAAGTCCTTTGGATTCTGGGTCTCTTGTCTGAGAGCTTCCTAGATATAGAAAGATTGATGCCAAGATACATGGAGATCTCCAAGTAACACTGGGCCCTCAGATGTTGAAAAGAGACAAGAACCTTCCCCCAGAGCTGACAGAGAGGAAGCTTTCCCCTAGAATTCAGACTTCTACACTCCTAAACTGTAAGAAAGGAGCTCTGGTAGCATGGTGCCTAAGGCACTTGACTGCTAACCAGAAGGCTGGTGGTTCAAACCCACCAGCCACTTCTCGGAAGGAAGGAGTATCAACTTTCAAAGTGATACTGCCTCGGAAACCCAAGGAGGGGTCGCTATGAGTCGGGGGCCGACTGACAGCACATAACAGCCACAAGAATGAACTGTAAGAAAATAAGTTTCTGTTTGTTAAAGTCACTCACTTGTGGTATTGCTGTTATGGCAGCACTAGATAACTAATGCAAGACTTTGGAAAGTGGAAACTTTATAACAGTGAGTGTGGCCATGCATTGAGTGCTGTGCACAGTTACATTATTATGTACTTTATGTAATCAGAGGAAGGGCTCTAAGAAGTAGATTTTGTCATTACCCCCACTTTACAGATGAAGAAATTGTGGCACAGAATGTAAGTAACTTGCTCAAGGCCATAGAATTGTTATTTGACCAGGAGTATCTGTTTACTTGCTTTCCATTACTTGCAGCTATATGATAGTGATAATGCCTCTCTGGAGATAGATACATGCCACAAGTCCCCAGACACCAGTGAGAGCACTCAAACTTTTGAAATGATGAGGACCTGAATTATGGTGGTGTCTGCCTTTTTCTAATCACTCTACACACTTCTTTTTTTTTTTTTTTTAATGTCATTTAATGTTAACTTTTCACACTTTCAATTCATCTTCCCTCTTTCTTTCAAAATCTCCAGTTGTGCCAGGTTAGAGATAATACCATGTTTATAATTTCTGCCATCCGCCCCATAGATGCATACCCTAATTCTGAAGTCATTTACGTCTGGACCAATGGCACCACCAAGTCTGTGGTGGTGGCAGAAGATGGCTCCAGACTAAACCAGTACCACCTGATGGGGCAGACAGTGGGCACTGAGAACATCAGCACCAGCACGGGTAAGGGGATCAGTGAGTTGGGAGCACAAATAAGGAACCTAGCAGGTAGGAGGCACAGAAGAAAGATCTGTTGCATGGGGGCATATGTGAGGGAGCTGGTGAATTGGAGCATAGGTGGGGGGCTGGTGGGTAGGGCAGTACCTGATAGCAGTGAGATAGAAACCAGGTTGGAAGGAGTGTCCACCCCACTCCAGCACAAGGAATCCTGCCTAGTAGCATCTCTTTGGCAGCTGCAGCCCAGCTATAGTGCATAGCCCTCTAATGAAGTCCCTTCTGTGGCTGCACAGAAGCCCAGCTTAATGCCATTAGTAGAACAACTGAACATTAATCTGCTCTGCAGTTGCCACCATGTGAGCAGCAAGGATAGAGAAGGATTTGGTGACTCCAGATGGGCCTGGAAACCTGTGACCTAGTTCTGTAACTCACAACCATGTCCAGAACACTGAAGAGCAGAGACACTCATAGACAGGTGGGATATCTGCAGGAATCTAAAGTTCTTCCACAAAACTTTTTCTCCTGTCCCCCTTCCTCCTGCTTTGATGTATTAGAAGATATTTTCCTGGGGTTGGGTTGAGAGAAGAAGCACCACAGTGCACAAAAGTACCCTTGAGCTTTCCAGGAGCAGCCATGCCCAGCCTGGGATGGGGTCAGTGCTCTACTGGCCTGAGTCAGCAAGGTAATAGAGGGTTGAAGTCCCAAAGAACAGCCAGGTTTCACTTCCTGAGCCTGCTGTCTAAAAGTATCTTCTGTCACAGGGAAGCCCTTCCCTGAAGGGCTCTAAACATCACCAGGTGTTGCTGTAGGATGTATTTCATGGCTGGGGAGAAGAGACAAGCCTCATGGGGATAGGCTGAGCCTCACTTAAGATGAGCCCTGAGTCCTCAGAGCCCCTCAGGTGGGCACACTCTTCATCGACAGACACTATCATCCCCAAGTGGCATATAATCACTTTGGTTGCTGTGTTAAATTGAGAGGAAGACAGAAGCAGGACAGACTTCATGAAGCAAAGTGAAGATGTGGTAGAACAAAAGTTAGGGTCAAAGAAATGAAAGGAAGAGAGGAACTGCAGACCCTAGTGTAGACTTAAAAAAAAAAAAAAAAAAAAAAAATCCCTCTTCTTCAAACATCAGGGAAAGACAAAGCTGAACCCCATTAGTGATCCAGCCCTTGATGTTCTGTATGATACCCCCTTGTCTTTATCCCTGTTTCTTTACCCTTTCATCATATTTGCTCTCTCCTCAAGAAGCTTGCAGCATGGGCTACTGGAGGGGGCTCTTTTCCTGTAAGAGGGCCCGTTTACCCCACAAGATCATGTTAGTACCATGTACTCTGCATAAGGTGAGGACAGAAACATAGAGGTCACCCACTTCAGGCTTTGATGTGTATAATATGCATATTAGCTGTGCCATTAGCCCCAAACATGAAAGGGTAAGAGGAAAGTAGAGAATATTCCAACAATTGCTGGGCAGCAGGACATCTGATTGGCCCTCAACTTAATTAGACTTTAGTGGATCCCCCAAGTCTGTTGTGGACACAGTCACTACATCAGCCAAATTTCATGACAAAATCCCAAAATTGTGTCCTCATTCAGTGTCACTCTGCCCTTCCCCACTGCTCTCAGCAGGCATGACCCATAGTTCAGCCAGCCTGCACCCACCCTGCACTGCAGTCTGATTCAGTCCTTACCAGTTCACCATCAGGACAGCATCATTGTCTGCAATGAGGGGGAGGTCTCCTCGCACCTTCCACATAGCCAGGCAGATCCAAATAAGTCCATGGGGCTTCACCAAGGACATGCCTGAGCTCAGAGAATGCAAGGGAGTGCTTGATCTTCCTGATGGGCACCCAGCAAATAAGCTGCTGGATTCTCAGCCTCCTAAGGGAGGCACCCAGTTTCATCCAGATGCTTCAACCTCCTGGTCACCCTAGGGTTGGAAGTAGAAAGGAAACTTCACTGACCACTGAGCTCTGGTGTTTTGAGCTCTGTCTGTCAGACTATGTCCTGATTGCTAAATCCTGATAACAGCAGCAGGCAAGGGGAGGGCCAGAGAAGGCAGCAATGGCAGGCACAGATTATAACCAGAGATTAGCAAATCAAGCAAATCTGATTCTCCCAGGGAAAGCATTGGTCAGCCAAGGCTCCTGCAAGGCTGATGCCAACAGACATACAAAAAGGTTAAAACTTCATGCATCCTCCTCTGTCATCTTTAACCCATCTAGCACAGCTAAGCACTTATCCAGCAGCAAAATGAGGCTGCAGAGCTACAGAAACCCTCAACCCTGCAGGCAGGAGACATTGGCCCTTTCCTTTCACCAGGAATTTGGTGACTTTAGGTAATGCACAGATATTTGCTTGTTTGCAGGTGAATACACAGTCATGACAGCACATTTCCACCTGAAGAGGAAGATTGGGTACTTTGTCATTCAGACCTACCTTCCCTGCATAATGACGGTGATCTTATCCCAGGTGTCCTTTTGGCTGAACCGGGAGTCAGTCCCAGCTAGGACAGTGTTTGGTGAGTATCTCCAAGACAGGTTTATACCCTTATGATAGCCAACCAAAAATACCCGCCCTCAACACCACAAGTATGCCAGTGCTGCCTTGGTATAGTGATGTGAAAAACAAATTGATCAGTGAGTTCAGGATGTTATGTTAAGGACTAGGATTTAAAATTTCTCTCAGAATGAGGCAATGATGCATGATATCTTTGAGAATCATTTCCATTAGAAAAGGCTTTCACTGGTTACCTCCTTTGAGGTTTGAAATCTCAGAAACTTCTTATGCGAGATTTTGCCAAAAGTATGTTCATCATTCTAATAAAGCACACCACTTTGTAATTCATTTCATTTTCTTTCAAATGGGTGTGTGTGCCACTTAAAATTAACCCCCAGGTGGCAATCAACACATTATATAAAATACTATAGTAATAAATCAAAAATATGTATGTAATAGTAATCTAGAAAAACACTATTTGGTATCCCAAAGACAATATAATAAAATTTAGAAACAGTTCAGGAGGTACCTTGGCACAATGGACAGGATAGGACATCCTTAGTGTTACCTTAGAGCTGTTTCCTTAAATTCAAACAAATACTGAAGTTGAATTTGCAGGTCAGTTGTGATAATAAAAAACAAAAAATAAAACTCACTGACATGGAGTGGATTCGACTCAAAGCACCCCTCCTTGGGCTCCTAGGCAGTATTTCTACAGAAGTAGATTGCTCAATCTTCCTTCCGGGGAGTGGCTGGTGGGTAGATGTCCCTATCTTTCCAGATTATAAATTACTATTATTATGTTAGCTCTTATTATTGCACTTTCATTTTCTAAGAAGAAAATGTTAACATGTATCTTATTGCAATAGACCTGTAGAGTGTAGAAAGCCAAAGAGCCTGGGGTGAATGGCACGAGAGTGTATCTTTCTGGGTTAGTTTACTTTTGAGGATGTCTCAGGAAGTTTTGGAAGCAGGCTTGTGGCCAGGCAGTCCTGTCCAATCACTGAACCTCCAAACACTCTTTACCACCATCACCCACTTCCATCAAGTTGATTCCAACTCCAAGTGGAATAGGACTAAGTAGAACTGCCCAAGAAGCAGATTGCTTCATCTTTCTCCCACAGAGCAGTTGGTAGGTTTGAACCACCAACATTTTAGTTAGCAGCTGAATGCTTTAATCACTGCACCACTACAGCTCCTTCAACACTCTTTAGATGAACATTAATAAGTGGGCAGGAAAAAAAGAAAAATAGATCGGAAAATTCTGAATATTACAGTCTGTTTCCTCTTGGAGATTCTCAATGCTAAGGCACTCAAAAAGACTCAAGAAACTTGTTTAGTTTCATGCTCAGAACACTCTTTCCTGACAGTTATTAACTGGATTTCTAAAAAAAATCAAAGATGTCTATTGATTTCTCATTGTACATTAATTCCTTGCATGGTACCATGGTCAATGAGTATATATAAATACCTTTACAGGAAGACATGCAAGAGAACTCATAGCTGTTATGGCCTCCAGCAATATTCCACTTTAAGGATACATTGTACTCCCACCCCCATCCCTATATTCTCACACACACCCCTATAGACAGCAAGGTGGGAGGAGAAATGCAAGGTTCTCCTGGAGATGCTACAGGCCTTTAAGAGTCCAGCAGATCTGGCTCCTGATGCACAATCTCTTATTTAACTATGATGGTACCAATAACTAAATGATTTTAAAGCTTCAGGCTTTCCCCTGTAAAATGGGAATAAGGACACACGTTTAGATGTAGTGTGCCTTGGTCAGAGTCTGACATATAGTAGGTGCTCTATAAATGGGATGTAATGTGTCAGTCCTAGACAAACATCCCCCTCCAAAGACCTGCTCTTGCTCAGTGGTCTCTGCAAGGTGACTTGGGGGATCCATAGCAGATAGCCATAGAGGCCTTGCACAGCAGCCCTCAGGCACTCATTCCCTTTTTGTAGGAATTAAGTACCCAGACAGAGATTCAGAGACAACAGCCTCATTAAACTGACTTGTGGAATTATGCAGGGTTAATGCATGTGGAGAAAACGCTGTTACTAATAGGAGGCAAACAGTAAATCTCTGTGAAGCACTTTACTAGATGTTGTATGAGTTTAATTGTTGTTTCTTAATTGGACACTGCTCTAGTGTCTAGAAGCTCTGGTGTTAAAAGTAGTTAAAGCATTTTGCTGCTAACCAAGAGGTCAGCAGTTCACAGGAGAAAGATGAAGCAGTTTGCTTGCATAAAGACTGAAAGCCTTGGAAACTACATGGAGCAGTTCTGCTCTGCCCTGTAGGGTCACTATGAGTTGGAATTGACTTAATTGCAGTGGCTTTTATATTTATATATTTTTTTTATTTTGATCCTGGTGTCACCAGGAAACACCATTCATTTACCAGATCTTTTGGTAAGCACCTTTTGACTCAGTTCAAGACAATGAGGGCTGTGTGAAAATCAGATCAAAATCCCTGCCCTGATTAGTTCACATTCCAGAGGAAGGAGGTAGTCAACAAGAGAAAGGAAAAAAAAAAAAAAAAAAGCAGTAGGTTAATGCTATGAATTCATAACACTAAATGTTATGAATTAAAAAAAGGGGGAAGAAAATCAGTGAGAGAGTGTGTGGGAAGAATTTAAAATGGAGTTTGAAGAAGATCTACCTTACAAAATTCATTTGAGAAGATCTAAAGGAAGTGCAGGAGTGAGGACATCAAAAAGAACCTGCAGGCAGAGGGAGCAGCCAGTGCAATTTAAGAAGAAGCAAAGGAGCCAGGTGGAAACAGTTGAGAGCCGGGGTGGAGATGTAGAAGATGAGTTTAGAGAGGTAGAGTGTGTGTGGGGTTTGGGGGATCTTCGAGGTTATTGTTAAGAACTTTTTTTTCTATTGAGAATAGGAAATCCTTGGTGGGTGTTGAATAGAGAACAGGCCTGATCTGAATTACGTTTTAACTACTGACTTTGGCTGTTTCAAAAATGGGTTGAAGAAAGGAGTCCAGTTGTGAGATTGTTGTAATATTCCAAATGATATTGATGGTGGGGCATAGACCAACATGGTGAGAAGTGTTCAGATTCTGGGTATGTTTTGAAGGGAGACAACAGTGCTTGATGACCAAGTTAACTTTGGATATGAGAGAAAGTAAGAATCAAGGATGAGAAATTGAGGATCACTCTAGTGCTTTTGGCCTGAGTGACTGGTATCAGAATGTCCTTGAATGATGAAGGGAGCACTGAGAAAGAAGCATGTTTAGCATGTTTTGGACATACTGAATCAAGCTCCAGCTGGAAGTTTAAGGTAGAAAGATGGACATCTAAGCTCAGAGGTGAGAGAGGCCAGGCTGGAGAAAAACAACCACCTTATTTCCTGAATTTGTTACATTTAGAGGTTTTCAACTGGGGAACTCAGGGTGCCAATATTAACCCTTGTTTCCCTTCCCTACTTTACCACCCTGTTATCGACCACCATAGGGGTGACCACAGTGTTGACAATGACGACCCTCAGCATCAGTGCTCGGAACTCTCTACCCAAAGTGGCTTATGCTACGGCCATGGACTGGTTCATAGCTGTGTGCTACGCCTTTGTGTTCTCTGCCTTGATTGAATTTGCCACTGTCAACTATTTTACAAAGAGAGGCTGGGCCTGGGATGGCAATAAAGCCTTGGAAGCAGCCAAGATCAAGGTATTTATTATATGGTCTCCTCTTTACCCCATCTTGTCAGATTTGCCTGACTAGTGAAACATGCTTTATTGTATCTCCAAATATAAGGCAAGGTATTTCCCAAAACCCACTCCCCCAAAAAAACCCCAAATTATCTTCTCCCACATATTCAAAGTCCTTAAAAAGTCTTGGAAAAAGTGACTTGTCTAATTCTTTTATTTGAGCCACAAGCCTAATTCAAACCAAAGTTGTTATGTATGTGAATGTCTTACATACAAAAAGAAAAATACACCCATTTGTCACTCATCAACACGATTAAGTTCCAAAGACCAGGTCTTTATGGGAAATCAGTGTTATACGAGATTCAGGGGCCATGCGCTATCTTTGGCAGTGATATCCCCCCCAACACTTACCACCTGTTGGGCAGCCCTGGTATGTCTCAGGATGCATGTGGCGTGCTGGGCTACCCATGCCCACCACTCTATCTCCACCCTTGTGGGGGTGGTCAAGTTTTGCCCACTATCTGCTCTGGGTAGAAACTCTAATTGTCCTCTGCCCACTCCTTCTTGCCTACTGCCTGGGCAGGGAACCCATTCATCCTCTGTCCATCTCAGCCCTGCAGCTCCATATGGCTCCTTCCATCTCCCCCCTTCCCACACCAACCTCCCAGAATAAGTTTTGACCTTTGCCCAGCCTTCCCTGCCTGCCCACAATCTCACATCCTCCTCCTATTGCCCTGTGCCCTCTGTGACCAGACCACGATGCCACAGATGAATGGGAGAAGTCATCCCAAAGCCAGTTGGCCATCATCACTCATGTGGCCCAGCTGTCACTGAGATTTCTGGTATATCATTTAGGGTGTCTCTTAGAAGGTGACCTGGGCTCAGCTGTGGCCTCACATAGAGATGCTATCTGAATGAGAGTTCTGACACACATGACCTTCAATATAAAGAAAATAAAATCCTTACAAATGGATCAACAAGCAACATCATGATAAATGGAGAAAAGATAGGAGTTGTCAAGAATTTCATTTTCCTTGAATCTACAATCAACACCCATGGAAGCAGGAATCAAGAGATCAAATGATGTTTGTCATTGGGCAAATCTGCTGTAAAAATCTATTTAAAGCAAAGATGTCACTTTGAGGACTAAGATGTACCAAAGCCATGGTATCTGCAATCATCTTATATGAATGCAAATGCTGGATCATGAATAAGGGAGACTTAAAAGAATTGATGCCTTTGAATTAAGGTTTTGGTGAAAAATATGGAATATACCATGGACTGCCAGAAGAATGAACAAATCTGTCTTGGAAGAAGTACAGCCAGAATGCTCCTTAGAAGCAAGGATGTCTAAACTTGGTTTTATGTACTTTGGACATGTAATAAGGAGGGACAAGTTCCTGGAGAAGAACATCCTGTATTGTAAAGTAAAGAGTTAGTGGAAGAGAGGAAGAACATCACTGAGATGGATTGACACAGTGGTTACAACAGTGGGCTCAAATGTAGCAATGATTGTCAGGACTGGGCAATGTTTCATTCTGTTGTATACAGGGTCACTATGAATCAGAAGCAACTCAGTGACATCCAGTAACAATGACATAATTTTACATCTAAGAGAAATGAAAACAAAGTAAAAAAGATATGTACATGAATATCGATAGCAACTTAATTCCTAATAGCCAAGATTGGAAACACTTCATGTGTCCATCAATAGTAGACAACAATAAACAAACTGCATATTCATACAAAGGAATACTACTCAGTGATAAAAAGGAATGAAGTTTTAATACAAGGAGCAACATGGATGATTCTCAAAAGCATTATGCTGAATGCTGCAGGATTGTCTAACACAAAAGAATGCATATTGTATAATAATTTTTATAAATGTTATTTACTTATTTATTTTTGTGAATATACAAAGTAAAGAATATACCAATTCAATAATTTCTATACATACAATTCAGTGATATTGATTATATCCTTTGTGGTGTTCAACTATTCTCACCTTCCTTTTTCAGTTGTTCATTCCTCCTTAACATAAACTCACATCCCCCTAAGGTTCCTATCAAATCTTTTGAGTTACTATTGTCAATTTGATACATTGGTAATTAGTTCTTCAAAGGCAGACATGTTTTTTAGTTAAATTTAAATATTGTTTGGTTTTAAGAAAAGCTCAGGGGTTATTTTTGGTTCAAGGTTTAAAGATTATCTCAGGATAATCTCTGGAGGTTCATCCAGCCTCCATAGGTCCAGAAATTCTGGATTCCATGGGAATTTGAAATTCTGTTCTATATCCTCTTTTGATCAGGATTATTTAGACACACATTTTATTTCTTCTTCCTATTCCTGATTTCCTCTTCCTATTCCTGATTTCCTTCCTTCTCTGTTTCTCCAGGCAAATACAGCCCAATTTTTGTGCCTTTGAAGCTTGTTTCCCAGCATTTAAGTGTCCAGGAACTACACAATGAATAGGAGATAGAACAAAGTATGAAACATGTTATTAGACCAATTATCTGGGATATCCCATGAAACCATGACCCTAAGCCACCAAAGGATTTAAATCCCATGAGGTTTGTGACTGTACATAAGCAACTTCAGCAGCTATTTATTTTTCCTTTTTGATTTTTGTTATTCTAAACATGTCTGTCATACAACTTTTGCCAATTCAGCTTTTAACAGGTGTAGAACTGACTGACAACACTTATAATAATTGGCCATGCAACCCTACCCTTAGCTAATGCAACTTTTCCATCACCATGAACAGAAACTCAGGCTCTGTAAGCAAACCCCCTCCTATTCCTTTCCCTCCTGCTCCTGGTAACCAATAATAAACTTTGATCTCTGAACATTTACCTTTTCTTGTCTTTTTATATAAGTGGGATCTTACAATATTTGTCCTTTTGTGATTGATTTATTTCACTCAGCTTAGTATCTTCAAACTCCATCCATATTGTAGCATGTGTTAAGACTTAATTTTTCCCACTGACTGAGTAGCACCATATTTTGTTAATTCATTCATCTGTTGATGGGCATTTATATTATTTCCTCCATTTAGGTATTTGAATATATTGTGGTAAAAATGGATCTGTAAGTCTCTGCTTGAGTATCTGCTTTTAAGTCTTTTGAGTATATATCTAGAAATAGAATTGCAGAGTCATATGGTTGTTCTCATTTTAGTTTTTTGAGAAACTGCCACACTGTTTTCCACACAGTGGCTGTACCACCAGCAGTGGATAGGGGTTCCAGTTTCCCATATCCTTGCAAACATTTACTATATTCTGTTTTGTTTTAGCCATTCTAGTTGAAACGATGGTATTTCATTGTGGTTTTTGTTTGCATCTAATTTATGTGTGATTGTGTTGAGCATCTTTCTATATGTTTGGAAGCCATTTGAATATGCTCTTTGGTGAAATGTCTATTTAAGGACTTTGACCATTTTATGACTGGGTTATTTGTCTTTTTGTTTTTAAGTTGTGGATTCTTATCAGATATGTGCTTTATAAATATTTTCTTCTAGTTCGTAGCTTGTCTTTTTACTTTTTCAGTAAAGTTTTTGATGAACAAACATTTTAAATTTTTTATTAGATACTGTTTCTTTATTTTGCTTTTTGATGTTTGTGCTTTGTTATTGCATTAAATAATCTAATATTACAAGCTAGGTTCAACAGTGCAGCCCCTGCATTTTCCTCTGAGAATTTTATGGTTTTAGTTTACACATTTAGGTCCTTAATCTATTTTAAATTTGTTTGTGTGCATGGTGTAAGGCATAGATCCTGTTTCATTTTTCTGCATGCATTCAGTTTTTCAACATCATTTTTTAAAGAGATTCTTCTTTACCCATCAAATGGATTTAGTACCTGTTCTGGTTACCTAGTGCTGCTCTGACAAGAATATCTATCACAAAGGGGATGGCCTTAACAAACAGGAGTTTATTGTCTCACAGTTTGGAAGCTTTAAGTCCAAGTTCAAAGTGCTAGGCTCTAGGGTTGTGTGAAAGCCCCTCGACCTTGAGCTTTAGCTTTTCCTCTTGCTTCTGGCCCACTGATGCTAGAGGCTTCTCTTAACTCAGGCAGCTACTGGCTGCTGATGCTAACAAGCCCAAGGTTGACAAATAAAATAGCACAGTCCCAATGTTATCAACCACATGGCAGGCCATTAATTCAAGTTCATTGTTAGTCCCAAGGTTGGCAGAACATGGCAGGCTGCTGAACAATGACACAGCTACATGCAGGGTCCAAGCGTGCCATAAGCTAGAGACTATTCTCAAAGTTGTTTCTTACATAGGGAAAGCAGACCACATACCCAAAGGCAGCTACTCAGCTGCTCCCAGTGGATTCCACCATGTAGTTGACTACCAGTCCAATCATGAGGAATACTACATCCAGCTGCCCAGCCACTCAACCAGGTCCAGCCAAGTTGACACACAGACTTAACCACCACAATACCCTTGTCAAAAAAACACTTCTGTAGGTTTATTTCTAGACTCTCAATTCTATTTCATTGGTCTATGTGTTTATTGCTATAAAGGACCAAGTTATTTTGATTACTGTATCTGTATATTATGTTTTAAAATCAAGCAGTGTGAGTCCTACTTTGTTCTTCTCTTTCAACATCACTTTAGTTATTTGGGACTTTTTGCCATTCCATATAAAGTTGAAGATTGTTTTTTGCATTACTGTAAAGAAGACTTTTGGAATTTTGTTTGGGATTGCATTGAATCTATAGACCACTTTGTGAATCTATAGACTACTTCCATGAATCTGGAACATCTTTCCATTTATTTAAGTCTTCTTTAATCTCTTTCAGCATACTTTATAATTTTCATTGTATAAGTCCCCAATTAGATCTTTTTCGTAGGTATTTTATTCTCTTAAATACTGTTGTAAATGGAATTGTTTACCTAATTCTCTTTCATATTCTCATTGCTGATGTACATAAGCTCAACTGATTTTTATTTGCTGACCCTTGCCTCATGGGAACTCTGGTGGCATAGTGCCTAAGGCACTGGACTGCCAACCA